GCCGCCATCTTGGCTCCGCCCCTCCTTTAATGAGCGTTTTAAAGTATAAAGGTGACCTATCTTTTCTCAAAAGTAAATCTAGTCTTCCACCTCTAGGGACATGAATTGCTCATGTTTTTGAAAGGGCAGTCTTAATTATTCAACATTGAACACAGTCTGGGATTTGATGATATTTAGGAATTATTGCTAGTATTTCAGGTGTAAAAATAAAATCGTGATTGTGCTTAAAAAATTCCTTATCAAATCTGGCTTTCCTGCAGCTTATTAGAGATATACACAGAAATATTTATGGGTAAATTGCTATGATGTTTGCTGTTAAAATACTCCAGGGTAAAAAGTGGCATGTGTGATGGTATAGGTGAAACAAGAATGATGCAATTTGAAAATTTCCATAATAAAAAAGTCAGTCTCCCACTCTTGCCATCAAAAACCATAACATCCGCCTGTCTCTCTCTGGCCCAGCTTCAGCCAGCAAAGTCTAGTACAGGAACGCTCACTGTTTTGCCTAATTGGATACCAGTCTAGGCTGTGCAAATAGGGACAAAGGGACAGCCTGGATGTCTGTGGGATACTGGGCACACAGATCAAGCTGACACCCATTGACCCCTAGGTGGAGGGGGAATGGGGTTGAGGTAGGGCTACCCTTACAGTCCTCTTGTTTGGAATTTCCAGCCCTCCTGTTGGGGAAAGCTGGCCCTCCAGTTTCAAACTTAATGTAGGCATCTGTGTGTGTCTTTGATAAACTGATGAACCCCTTCTCGTGGCCAAAACTTCGAGTAGTAAGAAGAGTCATGTTGTAGTTATCTAGAGGGATGGGAAATGAAGGAATGGAGCCTTCTTAACTTGTTTACATTGAAGTTATTTGCAAATTAGTTTTTGTGGGAAACCTAGATGCTTATGATTTTTCTGACTTTTCCATTTCTTGTATAGCTGCACAGTCAGGAATACTTGAAAGAACAATTTCTCTGATTATGAAGAATCAAACACCAACAAAGAAGGTCTGTATGCTTTGTCATATCACTGTCTCAATTATCATCATCCATTTTGTGTGAAAAGAATTTTTTCTCACAATTTTGTCACTTTCTTAGTTTCTCCAGTATGGGTACTTCAAGTGTTGGTTAATATATTTCTGTTTTTCACTGTACAAAAATGAGAATATACAAAAACAACTGTGACAAGTTAGAATAAAGAATAAACTAGAGTATCTATATAATACTGTGAACAAAGCCGCTTTCCAACTCAGTTCATGTATAATTTCAGTATGATGGCTACACATCGTGCCCGCTGGTGACCGGCTACAACCGTGTGATTCTTGCGGAGTTTGACTATGATGCTCGGCCCCTGGAAACCTTCCCCTTTGACCAGAGCAAAGAGCGACTTTCCATGTACCTCATGAAGGCCGACCTGATGCCTTTCCTGTATTGGAATATGATGTTAAGGTGAGTGCCTTGCCTAGGGCTACAGGCATGCCGTTCAGCATATCCTACCGACTTGTTCAGGTGGTTCTTTTAAGGAGGCTTCAGGAGAAGTCATGACCCAGAACAGAACTGGGGAATGGAGTCCCTTTTGCTCTGCTGGCTCTCATGGTTTAGAGATGGTAGCCTGGGAAGGGTTCCATGACCTCAGCCAGACTTGGTGGGAAAGAGGCTGCCCAGGTTGAGGAAAGGGAGCTGAAGCTTGTCCGCCACCCAAGGTGTACAGCCTTTTCTCTTAGTTACTGGCTGTGATCAATTCTTTTGTCTTCCATGCTCTGGTTTTCTTTTGCTGCTGGATTAATAATAACAATAATAATAATAATAATAATAATAGTAAATCACTTTCATGTGCTAGGTTCTTTCTTATCTGCTACTTTACTTTTGTTTTTTTTTTGTGTTGTAGGAAATGTAAAACATAGTTTTAAGAGCATAAGCTGTGGAGTCAGACTGGTGTCTGAATCACACTTCTGCCATTTACTAGCTGTGTGTCCTAGGGCAAGTTGCTTATAACTCTGTGTTTAAGTTTCCTGTCTGCAGATTGTCCACCTCACAGGGTAGGGGTTAAGGAGATAACATAAAAAGACAGCCACATAATAGGCATTCAGTAAGTAAGCAGAGTGATACAAATTCATTAGTCTTCTTCTAAAAAATGACAGTCTCATTTGACTTGTCCAGACCTCCATGAAGTAGGTGAGTCAGGGTATCTACACCAGTGGTCTTCGGCCAGGGGTGATTTTGCCTGCAGGGGACATTCAGCCATATCCAGAGACATTTGGCTGTCTGTAGGGGGACCTGCTGGCATCTCATGAGCAGAGGTCAGTGGTGCTGATAAACATCCTTTATTGGGTAGGACAGACCCTGCAGTGAAGAAAGATCTGGTCTGAAAGTCCTAGGACTTTTTCTGCTTCATTAGACAAATCTTGTTTTATGTGCTAAGCATGCTCTAAGTCTGGCTTCCTTTTCAATACCCTGCTGCCTGAAGTCACCCCCCTCTTTTCTGATGCCAGTATCTTTTCTGTGTCATTTCTTACAGGGGTTACTGGGGAGGACCAGCCTTTCTACGGAAGTTTTTCCATCTGGGTATGAGTTGAGGGTGGTTTAATCCTTGCTCTCCTTGGATGGCTTCTGAGGCCAAGAGCAGCATGAAGAACTCAGAACCCTGTAGAGTTTCCTGCTGGATGATGGTGACCAAATGCCTCCCTTTTCAGTACCTCTGGACAGTCATCATGTGAGCTGCCAAGGATGAGTTCAATTCTCTGGAAATATGCAAATGAAAGAAGTGACTTCTGTTTTTTAAATAAAAACTTACCATTGATTGAGATTCCATGAAAATTTAATCTTGACTAATGGAGCAAAGTGATAGATAGCACTTGGGAGGAAAAGATGGTGGCAATGGGATAGCTTACCTATTTACCTCAGCTGTAGCAGGCATGAATTCACCAGAGCCTGTTTGAATTCACAGAAAACAAGAGTCATTCCAGGGAGAATGTGAGTTCACACAGCACGTGTGACGGTCCCTGACACGCCCCTGCTGCAGGAGCCTAGTGGCCTGAAAGCCCAGCTGCCTCCCCTCTGGCTCCACCTCCAGAGGCCACACTTTCTCCCAGCCAAAGGCTGATGCTCCTCTGATTAGGGTCCCTCTCCTATAGGATGTGGGATTCCCCATCAGCCTTGCTGACACTTTCTTAGACCTGCCTCAGTCTGAGGCTCTCATTCCCCTCTCCCTTTCCCAGGCATCCCCCGCCTACTTCATGGTCTGAAAGCCCTCCCTACCCTTCCTTCCCTTGTCCTTCAGCCTCTGTGGACATTCCCTGCCCCCACCACTAAATCTCTTGCAAACCTTTCTCTTAGCACCTGCTCAGAGAACTTACACACAGTGAGCATGGGGTTTAGAAGAATCCTGGTGTGTGTGGTAGGCATGTATTGATTCAGTCCCAATTTTGACCAATGCAATTTTGTATGAGTTCACATTGGAAATATTGCAGGAAATAGTTCCATTTGAAATTTAACTTTAAATTTCAAATGGCTTTAAAATAATTTGTCCTCATCCGTTTATTTGTAGAAGCTTATAGTTTCAATTCAACCTGGTATTTTAAAGCTTTGTACATTTCTTACTTATTTATCAGTGCTACCAAAGGGAAATGCATAGCAGTCTGTGCAGTACGTTAGAGTTTTATAACAACTCAGTGCAAACCCAAACGGTTACCTAGTGTCAGTAAATGTGTTGCCTAGGACCGTTAAGTCTCTCTGGTTTCCTGGAGTTCTCCTGATGACTTAAAAACTCTGCTCAGGCGTTCATTCAACAGCTGTGTACTGAGTTTGACTCCGATGCTCGGCCCCTGGAAACCTTCTCCTTTGACCTGAGCAAAGAGCGATATTCCATGTACCTCATGAAGGCCGACCTGATGCCTTTCCTGTATTGGAACATGATGCTAAGGTGAGTGCCTTGCCTAGGGTTCAGCATATTGCAGCAACTTGTGCAGGGTGGTTCTTTTAAGGACTGGGGTGGCGGGGAAGGCTTGTGACCACTATATTATCCAAATAGGACATTTTGGAGAGTGAAAGGGGGCACTATTAATAGCTCTCCTGGATAACAGATGTTGAACAGGAATATCACAGACAATCCAGATGTCACCCCAACTTGTCACCTGTAGAGTGGGTGATAATACCTGCTGAGCAGAGTGGATGTGAGCACTAAATGAAGTGTAGCTTTTAGCAGTTTGGCACACAGACTGCAGCTAACTATTATTGTTGTCATTAAATTTGGTAGTTGAAAGAAACACTCAGAAATACAACTTCCCCTTAGACAAGGAATTCCTGGCTGCCTTGAAGAAATGCGGACATGACAGGCTCTCCCAAACACTTGTCCTAATGGGAAGACGTGGGGGTTCTGTTACCTGACCCGGCCATGTCTCCCTGCATCATTTCAACAGACTTTAGGAGCTGGGAAATTCCCAGTGTTACACATTAGCCAATGTGGGGTAGTGACTAAGAGCAGAGATCTGGTCCAGCCTGCCTGCGTTTGGATCCCAGATGGGCCTCTTGCTGGCTGTGGGACCTAAGAGCAGTCACTGAAACTCTCTGGGCCCCAGCTTTCTTACCTATAAAATGCAGATTATAATAGCATTTACCTTACTGGGTTATTGTGAGAATTCTTACCTAGTGCTCACCAAATCACCGTGTTCTAGGTATAAGCTATTGCTTCAGGTCAATCAGAAGTTGACTGGCTGCCTCCTACTGACCTGTAGTAAGCGATCCATAGAAACAGCCCTTGATCAGAGGGTTCTAGGGGCAGCTGGTGTGACCTAGGTTGTGCCAATTCTGGTTAGTTTAGATCAGAGAAGGCCCTTTGTATTCAGTCTGTCTTGATCTCAATCAATCCCTCTCTCTGAGGTATATATAAATACATATGAGATACATATATTATTGGATATACTATTGATTATAGGGGTTCAATGACTGCCAGAATTATTACTCCCACAAACATTTTTTTGGGCATCTAATATACACAAGACCCTGGGATTTGGAGATGAAAGTCCTTGTCCTGCCTCAGTGAATAATATTTGATTACTTACATAAAGGGCCAAGATAGATAGAGGTCCCATCTGTGTGTATTGATGGCATTTAGAATATGCCACTGACTTATACCAGGCATTCAGAGAAAATATCCAGAAGAGGATAAAGTTTGAACTGAGTCCCTGTATTAGTTAGGACTCATTTGGTTCCAAATGACAGAAATCTGACCCAAGAAAGCCTAAGCAAAAAGGGGGACTTATTGGCTCATACATTGGGAATTCAGGTGCAGACTTCAGGTTTGGCTAGATGTAGGAGTCAAATAATTTAATCAAAGCGCTCTTTCTTTTCATTTAAATTCTCTCAGACTTTCTCATTGTGCCCCGGGAAGAGGGCTGTGTGTGTGTCCTGGCTTGGCCTCCCTAGAGGAAAAAGGAACCTGGCTTTGTCCCTAGACCAGTTCTGGAGAGAGATTATGATTATCACGTGGTAAACAAATGAATGTGTTTCCTCTATCTGAATGAGTGCAGGAATTTGTGTTCTTTTGTTCAGTGCTCTATCAGCTGTACCTAGACCAGGATGATCAGAACAACACATAATAAATTATCAGTAAATATTTGTTAAATAATGGAACTAACCAGCTAACTAATTTGCTAGATGCCCGCTTCATATCTAGGGGCGTGGGATTTGCTACCAAAAGGAGATTGGTAGAAAATGTTCTGAGCACCGCAAACCGTGATTACTTCTCTGGTCCTGAAACACAAGTAGAAGAGTGGAGGTGTCCCAGGCACAGGGACCAGCATGTGTAATGTGATGGACGTGCAAGGCTGCAGAGACCATAGCTCCTTTGGCTATCAATAGGACACTGGGCCGTATAAAATCAGGGCAGGCCCAGGGCTTGTGGAGGATCTGGGCCTGGAATCTCCTATGTTGCTTTTGTTCCTTCAGCTCCACCCTCCACCTGCTGCATCCTGGCCTCTGCCCTGGGAGGCTGGCCACAGGGGTAGTGTGGATGGTCTCTCCTGCTGTCCGGGTTCCCACTGGGTTTGGCCAATGGGAGTTGTTGGAGATAGGAGAGAGGGAGAGAGTATGGTTGGAATTTCCTCTGGCTCCCTCCCTGTAGGGGTGTCTTGGCTCCATGATGAGATAAGGACAGAAATTTTTTGAGAGTAAGAGTTCACAAACTTCTATACCAATTGGACAGGGAGATTTTATATCTGATAAATCTAATATTTAAAAAAAGTAATTATTATTAGCACTTTTGCTAATAATAATGGAGAGGAAGAGGAGTTGAAGGGAAGATTCTGGACAGGTAGGGAGACTCCCAGGCTAGATTCCAAAACCCCTGCCAACTGTGGAATCATACATTGTATTTTATATGTTTTCTTATTTCATTTTTACTCAGTTAATTTTTAATTCTGTTTTACAAGAATGCTTCTCAGTGAAGAATTAGATTAAAAAAATAAAAACAAAACCCCCCAACCTGGCTCTTCAGCATAGATGGTGGGAGGGACCATCCCCTGCATGACTGTCTCTTTTTGGGTTCTGACGACTGCTCCCTGCATCCGTCCCTGTGGGCATAAGGGTGGGAATACCACCATGGTTAAGAGCCCTGAAGGCCTGCACTGTGCCTGTGGTTCCCTGCAGGTCTGCCTTTGTGGATAAGCCCATGTTGAGTGATCCTAACTTGACTGTGTCTTCTGCTTTTCCCTGGGATCCTGCCTGATACAAGGTAGCCTAAAAGGGACACAGAGCTGTAGAAGGAGTGTATACAGGAATGACAGTAGAGTGTAGCAGTATGAGTGAGGTATGGGTTAATGGGACTCCAGATGGAGTGCCAAGGCCAGGGCCAACTGGCTTCAGTAAGAGATGATGAGGGCTTCCGTCCAGACAGTGGCACTAAGGGAGGAGGGGAGGGGAAAGAGTCATGGATATATGGGATACTGTATTAGCCAGGAAAATAGAAACCACTATATAAATAGTTCAAGCAGACAGGAATTAAACATTGCAGAGGTCTGCAAACTCTGATCTGTGAGCCAGACTCAGCTCATGCCTGTTTGTGTAAGCAAAGTGTGACTGAACACAGCTATACTCCCCCATTTATGTATTGTGTGGGGCTGCTTTTGCACTGCGATGGCAGGACTGGATAGTGGTGATGGTGACTACATGTGCCTTCAAAGCCTAAAATATTTATCATGTGGTCCTTTACAAAAAAGTTTGCCAACTCCTAGTGCACTGGGATGTAGGCATGTACAGAACTCTAGGAGTGGGTGGGGGAACATATTGTGGAAAATGATTGCTTGATTTCAGGAGATTGGGGGCTGCAGAAATTGCAGGAATACTGGCCCCATTGGTCTCAGCTGTCTGCCACACCAAAGTAAGCAACTGCGTACAAGCCCATGCAAGCCTCAGGTCTACAGACATAAAGTCCCCTGTTACCAGAGGGGAAAAGTCTTCTTTTCTGTCTTTCAATCTAGTACAAGTACCCCTCCCTCATTGGCAGACTAAACTGGTTGTCTTTTCCCGGCTTTTCTCCTTTATTCAGAGGTGAGTGTAAAAGGGACAGGGATACACAAGCCCAGGGCCCTGGGGTGACTAGACAGTGGGGAAGGATATGGAGGCTGTGATGACTCCCAGGCATGGGTGACTGTGATGGACGACAGTGCCACCCATGGAGAGGAAGGGGAGTGGAAGGGAAGGGAAGAGTCTGGAGAGGAGAAGAGATGCTCCCAGTTTAGAACTGTGGAATCGTAGCCAACTGCCCATGTGCGGTTTTACTCCTTCACTCCACTGATATTCATGGGGTAAAGCCATAAAATACTTTGACATTAAATATACTGGTATTCCAAACCTGTAATTAGCAGATCTTTCCATGGCTGATGAATACCCAACTTGCAGACTAAAGCCCTTATAAATTCCTTTTGGTAATGTAAAGGATAATGTAAAGGAGAACTTCCAGGCTTTGGAAGACATTGGTAATCTCTGGCTCACAGGTCCTGTTGGCACAGGGGCCCTGTCAGCGCACAGAGCCCTGTGCACGGCAGAGAGAGGCCTGAAGCAAAGCAACCAAGGGAGAAGAGCAGACTGAAGGGAAAGGTTGTGAGGCAGAGAGTGTAGAGGAGAGAAATTGGTGCACCTGGGGCTGAGCCTCATTGGAAAGGTCCCCATGTGGGGCAATGGGAGGATATGGGGGCAACGGCTGACCAGCCCTCAGCCCCTGCCCCCGCCTGGTTTACTGCCTCAGTGGTCAGTCAGGTCTTACCCCCAGAGTACGTTACCGGGGACCATACCCTGTAATTAAACAAGATTGTGGCAGAAAACTCTTCCCTAGCCTACTCCTTTCTTAACTGAGCAAATGGAGGCAGTGAGACTCAGGCACCTCAGTAGCGCAGCTTTCCACTCCAGCAAAGCTGATTTTATTAGCTTGCTTCTTTCAAATTGGAAACAGTTCGGTTTGTAAATCCATCCTTGTATTCTACTACCACCTTAGATCTGACTACTGGTCATCTTCTAAATGAGAAATGCTCTAATGGTTTTTATGTGCAAACACAATACTGTAGGTGCCTAACCATCAATAACTGTAAAAATGACATAGTAATTTGAATGGTTGTCGTAAAGGTGAACCTTTTCTAGAATCCATTTTATAAATCTAGAAAAGAGTTGTCATTTGTGACTAGGAACTATGTGATCATTGTCAAAAGGCCTGAAAAGTTTCTGAAGATTATATAGCAAATGAGAAGCAGACCTGGAATTTGAACCTGTCTGTTCTCAGTGTCTTGGAAATGTTGGTATCAGTATTACTTTGAAGACCTCACGGTTTTTGCTGTCTTATTTCTGCACAGGAGTAAAAGAAAAAGGAAGAATGTATCAGTCCAAATTCTTTCATTTTCTAAGTAGCAAAGAAAGCAATTTATTGGCTTAAGCTCGAAGTCTGGGAAGGAGAACAGGCATGGCTGGACTCAGAGGCTCAATTTCACTCTCGGATTCCGTTCTTGCTCTTTGTTTGTATTGGTTTCTCAGGTGAGTCGGATGAGTTCCCGCCTTGGAGGAGCCGCAGATCCTAAGGGAGCCTGATTTCTCAGGCCGGCTCCTGCCAGACCCTGGGAAAGCATCCTTCTGACCAGGAAGGGGGAATGCAGCTCCTCCAGGATGCCGGCTGACCCCCGGGATTCCTGCCAGCACCTACCGACAAGGGCCCTTGCAGCTTCACCGGACCTCTCGGTGGGTTTGGGTAATGGCCCGCGGAGGGCCAGCGGGAACGAGGAGAGCGCGCCCGTGGCGTCCCCCGGGCTGTGGGCGCCCCCTGCAGGAGAATTGGAGAACCCCGCTGGTCCCAGCTGGTTACCCGTCCTTCCCGATCTTTCACAAACGGCCTAGAAACGCCCCAAGTAAAGCTGTGTGTGTTCACCACCTGCGCCTGATTAACTGGCCGCAGGGCAGGCCCTGAGTACAGGAACCCGAACTCGGCCTCACGCGGAGTCTCTGCCCGACACTGCAGCCACCTTCCCAACACCCCTCACCGCACCGCACAGGAACTGCCTCTCGCTCCCTTGCCTTGCGTTTCCTGCAGAGGTGAGTTTGCTCAGCCCTAATCATAATCACAATCATAATCAAACTAATCTTAATTGCTACAATGTTGAGTACTTTGAGACAGACAACGGGCTAGGCACTTCGCATCAAGTTACTTATTTAATCTTCACATTCACTGTTCGGGAGGGCGTTTTATCTGTGTTTTCAGAGGGCTGAGGATGAGAGAGAAGTAGCTTGCCCAACTCGGGGTTAGGAGGCGACAGGTCAGGCCGGAGCCACAAGGGGGCGCTCCTTCATCTTCTATATTGTCCCACCTGTTAACTTTTCTTGGGGAAAACTCACCATATTTTGACAAATATAAAACCCAGTGAAGAGCGCGCATAAATATGCGTATGTATTTGGAAATAGGCGGCGTTGGCAACATGGGCTATATAGGAATAGGAAGAAATGTTACATTTCTGGAACTGTAAATTATGCTGTATCTGGTGTAACAGGAGGCGGAATTTTTAAATTTAGGTATTTTGTACAATCTGTGATGTTGGTCAGTGCCATATGGGGCAAAACTGTAAAGCTATGACAGGCTTTCATGAGTTATGGCTGATAATCCGTATCGTGTGTGTATGCATGCAAGCCTGTATACTTAACCTAGCGCTTCCTCTCAGGTTTAGTTCTGGGGTCTCCCTTGCCCTAATACCACTTAGGATTAAAGTCTGCAGCAGCTACTTTCCTCTGCCTAAATAATCTAAAGGCACCAGTCTTCCTCTTTTTCCATTTCCTGCCCCCAGTGTACCCTTGCTCCCAATTCTTAGTCTGATGGTAGGTTCTGCATGTCTGAATTCCACTCATTCTTTACAGAGGAGAATACAGATATTGGAGTAGGCCATTCTGACTACCTCTTTTCAACAGGCCACTTCTGATTGTGAGAATGTTCTAGTTTCTAATTTTAAACTGATTTAAAGTAGTAGCTTCTGGAGGACAAAGACCCTATCCACTTTTGCATTGAAGCCTTCTTTGTACCTATGTTGGGTCTCCGATGTTGGATAACTGCATATCTGTGGTTCCCAAATCTGATAGTACATTACAATCGACTTAAAAAAAAAAAAAGAAAAAGGCTTTACCTGGGGATTCTGTCTAGATCATCTTGGGCCAAAGCCTGGCAATCTGTTACATGACCTGGTGGTCCCCATCCCTGTGGTGTCTACTGTCTGCTGCACCGATGAGCCTCCCCCAGCTCATATCATGGCTTCATGAAGTGGGGTGCGTTGGGGTAGGAGGATCCCTGTGACACTGGGAGAAGATCTTGGGTCTGTGGGAAGAGGTTGAAAATGTATTGCTGCCCCACTATGCCTCACTCTGTATTGTGTGTGTATATGCATGCAAGTAGTGGAGTGGCCTTAAGGACTCTGATGAGGGAAATCCTCCCAATGAGCAGAGCTATGAGCAGGACCCTTGTTTGTCTATTTTGTGTGGAGGGAGAGGTGGCTGAAGGTAGTTTACACGGACTCCTAGGCAGTGGCGAATAATTTGGTTGGGAGTCTAGAAGGAGCAGAAGTGGAAGTCTGGGGAAGAAGCATGTGACTGAACCTTTGAAAGTGGGCACAAAGCAAGCAGACCTTTATGCTGACTGGCAGCACCCAGCACAGGGCTCACTCAGCAGCCAGGTAGACAAGATGAGTCATCTCGTAGATGCCTGTCAGCCTCTGCCCTTGGTCACCCCTCTGCTTGCACAGAGGGTCCATGGGTGGAGGAGCTGCAGTAACAGGGAAGGAGGCTCTTCATGGGCTTACTCTGACCAAAGCTGGTCCAGTTACTGTCACTCCTGAACAGTTGGCATGTCAGTGGCAGAGACCAAAGATGAACCCTCAATGTGGAATCACTTCTCAGAGTCCAGCCAGACATTTGCTGGCAAGTTGATGCCGTTAGGTCTTTCTCACCCTGCAGGGGACAGTGATTCATCCTTTCTGGAATTGATCTCACCAGATAACCATTTGCCTTTCCTGTGTCTCTGCTGGTATCACCCAAGGGTCCATAGAGTGCCTGCTTACTGATGTGGGATCCCATAGAACAGCTTTTTAGACCACAGGCTTCATTTTACAGTGAAGGAGGAGTGATAATGGTTATATGAACACAGAATCCTCTGGGCCTGCCACATGCCATGTCACCTGGGAGCCAAAGAGGTGGTTGGAATGGCCTGTGGGGCCTTCTGCTCCCCAGCTGGATCAGCTGGCTGTAAATGTCCTTGAGATAGGACGCCTCCAAGGCACCCAGGAACTCTGAGCACTGATGTTTCCATAGGAGGCCAGAGGCCAGGTGAGAAGGAGCACAGGCCGGTGGGGTGTGTTCAGTGGGACACTGAATATCTGGGAGCTGTGGCGATGGGAGAGTTTAACAGGGGCAAGAGAAGGTGGCAGACATCCAACCAAACCCAGAAACAGGTCTCTGGATCCCCTCTCTGGTGATTCTGACTCCGGGGATTCTGAGGGAGGACTTGGGAATCTGTACTGTTAAAAAGCTCCTCAGGAAAGTTGGGTGCTCTCCCAGATTTGGGAACCATATGGGGGTGGAAGGTGGATGGAACATGGATCAGAGCAAGGCAGCTGTGAGCCCAGGCTTCACCGCTTGCCCAGGGTGATCTCCAGTCACAGGGTGACTGGCTTACTCCTCTGATTTACAGAGTTGGGCTTATGCTATCAGTGGGATGATAGTGTGTGAACCATTATTAAATGAGTCAATATACGTAAGACATGTAAAACAGAGCCTGATGAGCACAGGAAAGCTATTATTTTAATGTAAATTATTGTTTTGTTAAAAAGCTTGGTGCACAGAAAATGGACCAAGGACATACCTGATTCTTCCTGTCCATTAGCTCTTCCAGAACAAAGAAGCTGGGGGCTGGGACTACCATTTCTTTCTTTTTCATTCTCCCAAATTTTATTTAGAAATCATTTAAAACTTACAAAAAACTTTGCAAACATAAAATAGTGCAAGTAGCACCTGCATATTCATTACTCAGATTCACTTACTGGAACATTTTACTCCTGTTAACTTTATAGTTTGTGTTCTTTATATTTCTTACTCTCTCTTTAAATATATGGAGTATTTGTACATACATATTTATATACACATATACACTAATATACATGTATACATATACATTACTTATACACATACATATGTGTGTATATAAATTTTTTTCTGAGTAACTTAAATGTAAGTTACATACTATTATGCTAAATACTAAACTACAATATTAAGTGTACCAAATAACACAATAGAGATATTCTCTTACATAATCACAGTACACTAATCAACCTCACAAATTTATATTGATACGACACTTTATCTTTTGTCCATATTCCAATTTTATCAGTTGATCTAATGATGTCCTTTATAACACTTTTCCCCTCTGGTATATGGTCCTAAAGTGTCTTTAGCTTTCTTTAATATGGAACATTTCCACAGCCTGTCTTTGTCTTTTGTGACATTGACATTTTTTCCAGCTTTATTGAGATGTAATTGATGTACAACATGATGTAAGTTTACTATGTACAAATGTTGACTTGATATACATATATTACAAAATTATTCCACAATAGCATTAGCTAACACCTGGATCATGTCACATATTTACCGGTTCCTTTTTGTGGTGAAAACATTTAAGATCTACTCTCTTAGCAATTTCAAGTATATAATACAGTATTATTAAGTATAATCACTATGCTGTACATTAGATTCCCCAGAACTTACTCATCTTCTAGCTGGAAGTGTGTACCCTTTGACCAACATCTTTTTCTCCCTCCTGTGCCCCCAGCCCCTGGTAACCACAATTCTGCTCTCTGTTTCTATGAGTTCAGTTTTTTAGGTTCTATGAGTTCAGTTTTTAGTGAGATCATGTAGTATTTGTCTTTCTCTATCTTACTTAACTTAGAATAATGCCTTTAAGATCCATCTATGTTGTCACAAATGGCAGGATATCCTTATTTCTCATGGCTGAATAATATTCCATTGTATATATGTACACGACATACGATTTCTTCATTCATCTGTTGAAGACACTTAGGTTGTTTCCATATCTTGGTTATGGTGAATAATGTTGCAGTGAACATGGAGGTGCAGAAATCTTGAGATCCTGTTTTCATTTTCTTTGGATATATACCCAGAAGTAGGATTGCTGGATTATGTGGTAGTTCAATTTTTAATTTTTTGAGGAACTTCCATACTGTTTTCTATAGCAGCTGCACCATTTTGCATTCCCACCAATGGTGCACAGGGGTTCCCTTTTCTCCATATTCTTGCCGACACTTGTTATTTCTTGTCTTTTTGATAATAGTCATTTTAGCAGGTGTGAGGTGATATCTCATTGTGATTTTGATTTGTATTTCCCTGATGATTAGTGATGTTGAGCACCTTTTCATGTATCTATTGGCTATATTTATGTCTTCTTTGGAAAAGTGTCCATTCAGTTCCTTTGCCCATTTTTAATTGGATTGTTTGGGTTTTATTTTTTTGCCATTAGTTGTGGGAGTTCTTTATATATTTTATATAAAGTATATATGACTTATTATCCTGACCAGATATATGATTTGCAAATATTTTCTCTCATTCTGTTGCCTTTTCATTTTATTGATGGTGTCCTTTACTGTGCAGAAGCTTTTTAATTTGTTGTAGTCTCACTTGCTTGTTTTTGCACTTGTGACCTTTGCTTTTGGTGTCAAATCCAAAAAATCATTGCCAAGACTGGTGGCCAGGAGCTTACACCACATGTTTTCTTCTAGGAGTTTTATGGTTTCAGGTTTATGTTTAAGTCTTTAATCCATCACTGACATTTTTGAAGCACACATCCCCTCCCACCATTTTTAAATGGGATTTATGTCATCTAGTGTTTCTTTTTGATCAGGTTGTGTTTGCGTATTCTTGGCCATCATGAAATCCAGCATGGGTCCTGTTGCACAAGAGACCGTTTCTAATAAGATAGGCATGCTGATGGCAGGTGAACCTCCAGGGCTGCTCTTGCTTAGTTCCTGGCATGGCACCAGTGTGGT